TACATAATTTCATATATTATATGCTTCCATTTATACAAAATATCTGGATTGGGTCAACCCATAAAGACAATAGTAAATTAGTGGTTATTGGGGGGTAGGTGGGGGAAAAATAGGAAGTAAATACCAATGGGTACAGTTCCTAGGGGGAGTAATGAAGATATTCTGATATCAGAAGATTCTGATGGCTATAAAATCTTATGAATATATTAAAAACCACTGAATTGGGCTGGGAATGCAGGTCAAGCGGTAGCACGCTCGCCTGGCATGCGTGCGGCCCGGGTTTGATCCTCAGCACCACAAAGATGTTGTGTCTGCCGAAAACTAAAAATAAATATTGAAATTCTCGCTCACTTTCTCTTTCTCTCTCTCTCTCTCTCTCTCTCTCTCTCTCTCTCTCTCTCAAAAAAAAAAAAAACCACTGAATTATGTACTTTGCAAGGCTGAATGTTATAGTATTTAAATTTTATCTCAAATTTTTAACATCTTATCTTCGGTGTAAAAAATTTAAAGCAGGTTGCCTCCAGGAATAAGGGGTAAAAACTAATTTAGAAAGAGCATGAAAGAACTTTCTGGGGTGACAGAAATGTTCACTATCTTGGTAGGGTCCACAGTTACATAGATATATGCATATATTAAAATCGGCAAATATAGGCAACATTTACTCACATTACTATATGCAAATTTGCACCAAAACTATTTATAAATACTAAATTCAGTTTATGACATGTATATGGAAGTTCTTCTTTCTTTTTCTTGGTGAGGGGGTGGGAGCAGTACTGGGGATGAAACGCTAGGCATTGTGAGCATCCAGCCCTATGCTGAAGTTTTTGGTAGGACACGTACCAATATGTGCAGTTTACTTTAAAATACAACAAAAAACAAGATGGGTTAATGATATGGTTAGATAACAGTGGTATTGAGTATATAACATGTCTTTGTATACATACAATATATTATATATGGATATATAATCTTGGTGTTGAAAAAACAGTATACTATAAAGTTCTTTGAAAATGCTGTTTGATTGAAATTTTTCAAAACAGAATATTGATGAGGAAATTAATGAACAAGTAAATTACTGGCAAGTCACAAGTACCATGCAGAAACTTAGAATATGGTCATCAGACACGTATCTGGGTGGCAACATTGGGGCATCTTCCCTGGAAGACATGATATTTAAGCCCAGATATGAAGACTACATGAGGTCATCTGTGTGAGGATATCAGCATGAGTCTTCCAGGTCTCCTCTATACCCCTCCCCGAGAAGACCTTAATCCTAAGGCTCTGAAAGTTGGTGTGTTCAAGTGAGCCAATGGGACAAGGAGGGAGGTAGCAGAAAACTGGAGACAAAGACAGGCTCGAATCACATGGCATCCATATCAGCAGGGAACTGTGAATTCATCCAAGGGCAATGTTATGTCATTAGCGGGTGCAAAGCAGGGATGGTGGGACAGGAGGGGACGAGATGTGCCCTGATCATTAAAGTTTTAAAACATTGCATGACGTTCTATGAAGAATGGCACTAAATAAGGAATATAAAAACTATTGTCATAGTTCTTGCTATGACAAGGGTTGTTTGGAGGAGAGAGGGGGTGACACACACAGCAGGCAGTGACTATGGGGTGTGTGCAGAGAGGATGGCAGCACCTGCACAGGGACTTCTATCCTACAGGACAACAGGGAAACAGGCGCCCAGGACACATCCCAGGTGCGGGCCTCAAGGAATCGGGTAACACTTACTGAGATGTGGAAATCTTGGGAGACTGGGTTTGTAGGATGTTGGACTTCAGGATAAAAGAAAAAAACATTTTAATTTAAATTGAGCATAATTTGTGATTGTGAGAAACATAAGCAAAAGAAAAGAATCAGAATAAACAAGAAACTGTCAAAAGGCAGGTTTAGACTTACAATTTCTTTTCCTTTCAATAATCAATTTGACTTAAATGTACTAAGGACCTTTGGTCCAGTAAAAAGATTACTTTAATGGAAGTCAAGCTCACTAATTACTGATATCTACCTTTGGGGTTAAAGGTAAACTGGGGATCAATAGCTCTCTATCTCTACACTTAGGGGTCAAAGGAAAAAATCAGAAGTTGAATGTAGGAGGCAAGGTAGTCCACAAAACTAATACACAGAGGGAACATTTTAATTCTTAACGTCTGTCATCCCACCCATGGGCAGCTGCTGTCTATTTCAGTCCCAGACACATAGTACCTTGTGACGTTTTATACTAAACAGTGACTCAAATTTTAGCATCCATCCTGAAATCTCATTAGTTTAGCCAAAGTATAATGAAAAAACCATGGTCTTTGGAATCAAAGAAATCTAAATTTAAACCAGTAGCTTGGTGGCCTTAAGCAAATTAATTACTACTTCTAATGATTAATTTCCTATAAAAATGAAAATGAAAATAATTAAACCCAAGAATTAGCATTAAAAATAACATTTCCAGGGGCTGGGTTGTGGCTCAGTGGTAGAGCGCTCGCCTAGCACGTGAGAGGCCCTGGGTTTGATCCTCAGCACCACATAAAAAAAAAAAATAAGTAAGTAAAACAAAGGTATGTGTCCAACTACAACTAAAAATAAATATTAAAAAAAATAACATTTCCAAAGTACCTGGCACATAGGAAAATGTGCTATAAAAAGGCACCTAATGCTCAGTTTCCAACTTCAGCAGCATAGATTGCTATTTGCAGAAGAGAAGACTCTTATGAGGAGGAACCACACAAAACAGGATGGATTTTTTTTTTCAGCATGTAACAAAGAAAGAAATAAAAGAAATCTATGAATAGGTCTGATAGATAGGAAATCAGAAACTTATAAATGGACAGGTTGGAAGATTTTATTCAGTTGTTTAGAACAGGAATGTATTATTTCCTGTGGAATCAATGTTCAGTTTACCTCTTAGATAAACTCAAAATGGCCCATGGCAATAATAATACAGTTAAAATATGATATATCTCAATAAAAGCAATAGGGGGAAACCAAGAGGCTTTAATATGCAATTTGACGTATGTTAGCAGCTAGCCCTTGAAAAGGTTTTATGGGGGACTTCTATGGTGACTCAGAGACGTTCTCAGGGTAATTCCAAACACAGAAACTGATGACCCTGATTCTTTATCATGTTGTAATTCATCTCAAATTTTATGGCTTCCCTTTCTTTCACTATAAGCAAAACACTTGCACAGTTAACAACCAAGATTGTGATCATTTATTTCACAAATGAGAAGGGATAATAGAGGCAGAATCAGAAGAAAAAATAGGAAAGCAGAAGAAATCACAAAGGATGTGCCCAAGTATAAAGAAAAGAGATTCAGACTGAATTTAGGGGAGCTCAGAAGAAAAGAGACTGAAAAGAAAGTAAAGCACAACATTCAATGTTGAAGAAAGAAAACAAAGTATTGAGAATCAGAAGCACAGGTTATTAAAAAGGTAGAAGAAAAACGTAAAATGCAAGCAAAGCCATCTGCGGTTTGCACCAAGGAAATGCTTACAGGTTGGTGATTCATAATTCTAAGTGTGGCACAGCAACAGAATTCTAGATTTTCCTTCTAATCCTCTATTATTTCCCTAAATTCCTCCAAATATTGTTTTTATGTAGATACTATTATGATAATGTTATTATTCTGTCCTATTAAGCAGGAGATAATAACATACCAATCAGAATGAGAAAGAGGATCTTTTAAATTTAAAAGTATATGCTAGAATAAAACTAAACTGCATTAGGAAAATCTCTTCAAAAGCCAATAGGTATGTTCTGTGAGTTGTAGGCAAATGAGGACTCCCGATGATTTCAAATCACAGACAGCAACTTTTGATTTATCCAGCAGACCTCACTGTCAAGTACTGAGATGCTTTTAGAAAATGTTGACAATTCTGAAAAAATGATTCATGAAGAGATGTTATAGACCGATAAAATAAGATTTTTCTATGGCCTGGTCTCAAATCCAGGGCATTTTTGCAAAACAAATGAACAACAAAACATAATTAATAATGAGCAAAACAAAAATAATTTAACCAGATCCAACTAGAAACAGGGACTCATCAAGCAAAACAACTTTCAAATCACCAAGGCCCAAGCCTGCCCCAACCACAGGCGCTTACTGAGGGCTGTGAGATCACTTTCAGACCAATGTTTCTACATATCACAACTATACGCACTTTGCCAAGTCAAATGCTTTCCACCTGCGGACATCATTTCTAAATGATCACCTTAATGGGAAAACAGGACTATAGAACTGCTAGTGGGGTACAGGAGTTGTAGGAATGCTTAAGCTGCTGTGAGTCCCTACCAGGCCTCATCTCTCTCATCTGTCTACAAATCTCTGTCAAACCAATATGACTGCTGATTTGATTAATAAAAGGTACAACTTTTAATAGCTTTGCTAACCCATGATAACAGTATGCCCTTATACATTTTCTCAGCAGAAACTGAAAATACAATCATGCTCATGAGTAGTAGGAATATATTTGAAACTAAAGAGTACAATAGCCACTGCTGACCTGTCCTCCAGTTTACCTTTTACTCCAATTTAGAATACTCTGTCCTAATTACCCACATTCTATTTTATCTTTCCTAGCAAGATCATTAAGTCAACATTTAACATCTTAGGGAAAGGCAAAAATTTTGAGAATTTTGTCCAACATATTATGTTCACGTTAATCATATACATTCCTTAACTTTAGAAACTGCATTCAGCTGCTTACATACAAATTTATATTACATCCAATCTTGAGGATTCTTGACAATTCCTTCCTTTAATTAGTGAATGATTTCATCTTACAAAAGAGCTATAGCTAAGGTCAAATTACTCTTTAAAGTCCAGTTTAATAACAGATTATGATAATTCAACTGATAAATTCTTTCAGAGGGACAAGCAATCAGAAACCTAAAACTATTAAAATATTATTTGCTCTATGGGAATTACTTATTACACGTTTACTCAACCGTATCTGCTGAAAGACATAGAAACCCTACCAAAGTTAATTTAAGAACTTACCAATTTCCCTTGCAATTCTGACAGCTTCATCTGCATCCTGTAAAAGCAGGAAATGAGACTCAACATTAATCCCATGAGGCACTGCGCAATGTCCTTAGGGCAGTCGTATATTGCACTACTGTCTCCTCTGATTCATTTAATGCTCAATTTTACAACCTTCTAACCCTTTTCATTCAGAGAAATGTAAAATTAATACCATAAGTGGAATGTAAATTCTACCTCATCATTATTATATTAAGAAACTCAAAGCAGTTTGAAATGAGCTGGCAGGAAGCACTACCAGAATTGCCAATGACTTGGTGCAGTTGCCGGAATTTAATGGCAGAATTTAGATGTTTACAATCAATACCGAATCATAAATCAGATCATTAAAGGTTGTCTGCAGCCAACTTGTTTCTGTGTCGGATACTTGGGTGTCATGTTTTCCTGGATTCTGTCAGCAGGGGGAGTTGATTCTCTATTGTTTGGGAGGAGCTTGATCGATTTTCCAGAAGTCAAAAGGTAAATTTCCAGGATCTATAGGACTTACCAATTATTCAAAGAAATCCCTTTAGTGATCTCCTTGACCTTTTCTATTTTATTTCACCTTTTTTTCAGGTACATATTTTATCTTTAAGGTTGCAGTCTGTTACACAAAGCAAAACTTTAAATTCAATCAACTAACTAGTATGGTTTAAAAAAAAAAAAACTACAAAAAGCCAAATACAAATGCCTTCCTAAACACCACAAGGGAAGAGTTTATTGATATAAGGATTAGTCACTGCTAAACATCAACCAAGGCCACTGTACCTCTCACTAGCTGAAAGGCAACAAGTTTCCTGCATCTATATCACCCATTAACCCCCACCCAACACACCCAACAGGACCCTCCCGACAGGTTCCCATAGAAAGACCCCTAGAATTCTGAACTCCAAGTTTCCTCTTTGGTTTTATTATTTTTTATAGTTCAGTGACACAAGCTAAAATGACTGAAGTTTTAGAAAACAACTTTAAAATACTGAAGTCTGGTATTTTTAAAGCTAATTTATTTAAAATGTAGCGTGACCATGTCAGATCCTCCCCCCAAAAGGCAGTGGGGGATGTTTATAACTGGTTCATTTATGTCTAATAAAAAAAAATCTTCCTTGAAAGTCTTCAGTACCTAATAACATCCCCTGAATAAGGAGGTTGGCAGGGGAAGTTGTCAGAAAAATTTAATTTCCTTTCATTAGCCAGTCTGCTCCACAAATAGGTGCTTGTTAAGTTCAAAGCAGTCCTGAAAGCGACATCAGTTTTAAGTCCTTTTTTTTTTTACTCCAAGCAGTCACATCTGCTAATGAGATTTCCAAATAACAATTGTTTTCAAGTCAGAGATAAATCTATAACCTCCCACCCCACGCCCCCCAAAATCAAGGTTTACTGCTTTATTACACCTTGCTGTATTCACTGACTTCACATTCTCCAAATTTTAGCTTAAAAGGATAAAAATCCATGAAAAGGGTCATTTAAGAACGTTAGTGGTTTCCACACATTGAGTTGGAAGGTTCTTTGTTCCAGCCAGTGACAGTTATTGGAGAATACTTGCTTTAATGGCCTCTCTGTCAGGAAGTGTTAAACCTGCCAAATGTGAACAATTAGTGCCTCTCCAACAAAATACAGGAAGAGTGATGGCTGATGAAGACTGGATTATAATAAGCCCAGAAGAAACTTTTAACATTTCTTTCAAATGCCTAAGACTATATTTACCAATGATAATCTGAGAGAAATTAAACTGCTATCCAGAAAGTTACCTGTAGAGAACTAATAGGAAATTTTTAAAGGATAATTCATTAGCAATATTTTATCATTTTTACACACACACACACAAACACTAGAGATGTGTGTGTGTATATAAAAAGAATAATATATAAACACAGCAAAGCTTCTAAAATTTCTTTAACTGCTACCAATCACTTCTGTAAGCTGCAGCAAAAATTATCTTTTAACTGGTATGCTTACATTTTCTTACTGTGAAAATTAAAATCCTACTAAACGAACTTTCAAATAATATCAAACTGCCTTAAAAATTAACTTTATACTTGTTGCCCATTCATCCCCCCTCCCCAAAAAATTATTGAGGACCTATTATGTACTAGACATTAGAAAACTTTATTATCAGTTTCAAAAAATAAACTGTCAAGTACACTCAGTTCCCAGATGGTCTTTCAGCATGCAGTTTTATTACTGAAATATATAAAACTACTTTTAAAAAGATAAAAAGGCTCATTTGGCTCCAAAGTCAACAGCACTGACACATGACATTGTAAAACCTCCCTATCAGGTTATAGAAAGAAAAAAAAATTTAATAAAACTTTGAAACACCTATGAAAAGACCAACAACCATCAGGAAAAAAAAAATGTGAAACTGATTAAATAAGAGGTTCAAATAGAAAGAAATCCATTACATGGAAGGCTGAGGCAGGAGGATCGCAAGCTTGAAGCCCACCTGGGCAACTTAGTGAGACTGCCTCAAAATAGTAAGTAAAAGGGTCTGGGGACATGGCTCTGGCAGAGAACTTGCCAGGCCCTGGGTTCCATCCCCAATACAGCCAAACAGAAAAAAGAAAGAAAAGAAAAAAAATCCACAAGAATACATATGAAATATGTCCAGCCTCAGTCCTAATCATGGAAAGGCTGATTAAAGCAAGGAGATCCCACTTCTCATCTAGATACTGAAGCTGATAATGGCCAGGAGCGACCTGAAGTGACTCAGGCAGAAGAGCACTTCTCACACTATCAGTGCTGCAGGAAATATAATCTTTTTAAAAATAAACTGTTCGTATCCATCAGTACAAAGACATATATCTTTGACCCATCAATTTTACTCTTGGGAAATTATCCTATAGATATCCTCATACACATTCATACAGAGACCAACCTATAAAAGAAATGTGTTATTTTCAGTGTGTTGTTATTGTTTTGAAAGGAAAAAACCTGAAAACCAATTTGATAGGCCTTCTGAAGACTAGAACACAAATGGTACATTTATAAGAAACAGAATATTACACGGCCTTTAAAAAGAAAGAGGGTGGTCCATATGTTCTTACTCATCTATGTATATACTAATTCAATAAATGTTTACTCAGCAACAGTACATGAAATACATTTTCTGCCCTCGTGAAGCCTGTCAAAGCCTAATATGGGAAACAGAAACTGGAGTAAAGAAATCAATTGAGAGTCAAAATAAATGTTACACTGCACAAAGAGTTCTAGAAAATAAGAAAAGGAACCTGTTTTTGATAGATTACTCTGAAAAGGCCCTTCTGAAGTAAAATTTGGAACCTGAGGACAAAAGCGGCTCACTGCCTTCAGAAAATCAGGAAGAAAGGATTCCAGACAGAAACAACAGGTGAAAAACCCTAATTAGGAAGGAACTTAATTCCTAATTAATTTCTAGAAACAGAAAGTCTACAAGGCTGAAGCTGAAATGCACTAAGGAAGCGGGTGGGGCGGTGAGGCACCGAATCCTAAGGCCCAGGCTAGAATGGTGAAGCTTTGGGACAGTAACTCTTATGTGCTAAATATGTGCAAGTCACACCTACCCTAACTTGTTGGGAGAGAGGAAGGGGTAGTGAAAGCAAGGGGTGGACTGAATTGTCCCTCCTCCCCCCACATGGAATTGGGTGAAAATTCCTGAGACAACTAATCCCTCCCCCCCACACATGCAAATTCCTCCTACTGAGGGGAGAATGAAGGACCACAGCCCCCCACCTCCCGCATCACAACAGGCGCCAAAGAAGCTAAGAGCAGACTCAGCCCCCTCAGCAGGCCTGGAATTCAGGATAACCAGTTTGCATATGTGCATTTCCTGCCTTTTGTCTGCCTCAGCCCCCAAGTCCCTTCCCCCAGGCCTCCCATCCCTTAAAAACCCTGCTCACCTTCAGAGATTCCACTTATTGTTTTATCTATCTTCCTTCAAAGGAGGCTTTGAATAACCCTATTTTCCTTCCAATCTCTGAATATTTCTGGAGCAGTGAGCTGAAGTCCAGCCCCTTCCTGGTCTTTTTTTTTTTTTTTTTTTAAAGAGAGAGTGAGAGAGAGAGGGGGACAGAGAGAGAGAGAGAATTTTAACATTTATTTATTTTTTCTTAGTTCTTGGCGGACACAACATCTTTGTTTGTATGTGGTGCTGAGGATCCAACCCGGGCCGCACGAATGCTAGGCGAGCGCGCTACCGCTTGAGCCACATCCCCAGCCCCCTTCCTGGTCTTTGTGTGGAAGAAGAGCCACGTTCTGACCCAGGAGGGAACAGGAAAGGCACCATCCAGGCATCCAGTAACTTACAAACTAATGGAAAAAACAGATCTTAAATGTGATTACATAGAAGCTAAGAAATGTCACTTGTCACCCATGTTACATACAAGTGGTAAGGAGGACCTGTGACAACACAGCATCTCTAACTCAAAAACAGATTCCTAGAAATCTTCTCAGGCATAGTGACTTTTTAAAAAGGCCTGACAGGGGCTGGGTTGTAGCTCAGTGGTAGAGCACTTGTCTTCCATGCGTGAAGTACTGGGTTCCATCCTCACCACCACATAAAAATAAAATAAATAAATATATTGTGTCCATCTATAACTAAAAAATTTAAAAAAAAAAAAAAAGGATCTGACAAATAAAAGCATGGTGGAAAACAGTGGCTGGAGCCTCAAGGAGCCACACTGAAAGACAGAACTTCAGTCCAAGGGCGGAATGCAAGGCCTCACTCTGACTGCATTTGGAAGAAGAGTGGCAAAAACTTTACCTATTTATCGTGTGTATATTCTTGAATCTCCATCTCCCTTCTCCTGTCTAGTTGGTTCCTTGAGTATCTCAAATGCCTGGAGCAGTGCACAAAACAGCTATTCAACAAACAGCTGTTGAATGAAGGAATGAAGGTGGGGGACACAAGAGCACAGGAAGGCAACACTGGGAGAAGAGCAGGGTCCTAAGAGAGTGGGGTAGCAGCAGTTTGGGTGAAAGAAAAACCAGCATCTTCTATTGTCTGTGGCATGCTTCTGTTTTCACCTAAATGCTACTCTC